GCTGGTGTGCTTCTTCCACGTGGGCATTGTTGGAGAGGCAGATCTTCCTCAGTCATATTTTGAGTGCCTTCTGATCTGCGGGGCGTATCTTCTGGCACCATGTCTGACATTATTCTGTTTCTGTTCATGAGGTTTTCAGTACCAGACAATATTTCAATGCTACCTATAAGGTTTCCAGTGGCTAATGCCTCTGAAGGGTACAGCCAATTATTTCTTCGTAGTGTGTTCTTAGTCTCTGCTCTGATGAACCTGCTTACCTTGGGTCATCCTCCTGGTATTTGAAATAACAGTGACTTAACTTCCAGCATCACAGCAACACACAGCCACTATATTACGACAAACGGACAGACAAGTGGTGGACTCCTTGATAGCCAGTTGTTAATAATATACCCCTATTGAGTCAGAATCAACTTGATAGTACACAGCAACCAAAATAAGGATCTTTCCAATGTCTTCAGAATCTGAAACGATGACTTCCCTTTCATTCTTGATATTGGCACTTTGTGTGTTCTCTGCTCAAACTTTTCCCACGCCTTGGATCAGTCTGTTGTTGAAAACTTAATTTTATTATTGTTTTTAAGGAATCATTGTTGACTTAAAAATGTCTTCTCCATTGCTTGTATCAAATCTTCTTAATTTATGTATGATCTTATCTTTATGACGTTCTAAACTATTTTAGGCTTAAAAAAAAAAGGTCACTTCTAGGACTCAGGTGAACCTCAGCCACATCATAGTATTTTTACTCTGTGTGTGTGTATAAATAAATATATATATGGAAAAGCTGGAAAATGAATAAAAAGGACTGAAAAGTAGTTGCTGTCTTTTTATTATGGAACTGCTGAAAAACACTGAATATGCGACAGACTTCCAGAATAATGAACAGATCAATTTTGGAAGAAATATAGTCAGAATGATCCTTAGAATGAGGATAGAAAGACTTGGTCTCACGTACTTTGGACATATTATTAAGAAGCATCAATCACGGAGAAGAATGAATTCTGACCCTTTGATAAAGTAAAGGGTCAGTAAACAAGAGGAAGATGCTCAGTGAAACCAATCGACACAGCTGCTGCAACATTGAGCTCAACAATAGCAAGGGTTGTGCGGATGGTG